CTGTGATTCTATGCACCAAGACACCAACCACACTGTGATTCTATGCACCAAGACACCAACCACACTGTGATTCTATGCACCAAGACACCAACCACACTGTACCATTGCAATGTGTAGCTAAACATCATCTACTATAAAATATTAATGTTCAATGTTTTCATTGAAGGAATGATTCAGTGAAAATAAAATTCAGGGAATATACCTTTTGTCGTATATTTTACATTTGTCAAAAATCAGTGAAAATAGTTTTTTTTATGTCATTGGTCTATTTTGACAGGTCATGAATTTACTTGCCATTAACGTCATAATTTGTTTTGACAAGACATCCATTGTCAGTATTACTCTAAACATGACAAGTGAAAGTACAGTCACCTATAGAGAACTTGAAGTTCTTGCAATTTGACTGTCAGATAAATTTACGAATAAAGTTTCCCCTTGTCAGAGCAACAAATCTACAACAAAAGTAGTTTGTGTGTGTGTATATACCAAACCAAATTATCTGAGTACTTAACTGTGATGTTTTTGTTTTTGTTTTTAGGCTTAGAATCACATCCCCAGTATGAATTAGGTCTACGACAAATGAAAGGCTACAGTGGTATGATATCATTCCGTATAAAAGGTGGAGTAGAGGAAGCCACCACATTCCTGAAATCTGTTAAAGTATTCACATTAGCAGAAAGCCTTGGTGGATTTGAAAGTCTGTGTGAACACCCGTATGTATTGTTTTACTTTGTGTTCTGCTGGAATGTTTTCACGTTATACCGGGGTACAGCTATTGTACTTTTTTTTTCAAACAGCATACAAAGAGAAAAAAAAACAATCACCAAAATCTAGATTTTATTTCTTTGTTTTTGTGTAGTGCAATCATGACCCACTCCTCGGTACCCGAAGAAGCACGTAAAGTTTTGGGTATTACTGATAATCTGATTCGTTTATCTGTTGGCATAGAAGACACTGAAGACATCATTGCTGATATAGAACAAGCCTTGAATGCTGCTGTAAGTTGGAATAATGCTTTGTCTAGGTAGTTTCTGAGAGGTTTAATTAATATTTCATCTTCTTTATCACCAAATGAGTAGTGGAACCCTCTAACCTGTTCCACAATGTGGGCCCCCTCTAACCTGTTCCACAATGTGGGCCCCTCTAACCTGTTCCACAATGTGGGCCTCTCTAACCTGTTCCACAATGTTGGCCCCCTCTAACCTGTTCCACAATGTTGGCCCCCTCTAACCTGTTCCACAATGTTGGCCCCCTCTAACCTGTTCCACAATGTGGGCCCCCTCTAACCTGTTCCACAATGTGGGCCCCTCTAACCTGTTCCACAATGTGGGCCCCTCTAACCTGTTCCACAATATGGGCCCCTCTAACCTGTTCCACAATATGGGCCCCTCTAACCTGTTCCACAATGTGGGCCCCTCTAACCTGTTCCACAATGTGGGCCCCCTCCAACCTGTTCCACAATGTGGGCCCCTCTAACCTATTCTTACAATGTGGGCCCCTCTAACCTATTCTTACAATGTGGCCCCCTCTAACCTGTCCCACAATGTGGGCCCCTCTAACCTGTTCCACAATGTGGGCCCCTCTAACCTGTTCCACAATGTGGGCCCCTCTAATCTGTTCCACAATGTGGGCCCCTCTAACCTGTTCCACAATATGGGCCCCTCTAACCTGTTCCACAATATGGGCCCCTCTAACCTGTTCCACAATGTGGGCCCCCTCTAACCTGTTCCACAATGTGGGCCCCTCTAACCTGTTCCACAATGTGGGCCCCTCTAACCTGTCCACAATGTGGGCCCCTCTAACCTGTTCCACAATGTGGGCCCCTCTAACCTGTTCCACAATGTGGGCCCCTCTAACCTGTTCCACAATGTGGGCCCCTCTAGCCTGTTCCACAATATGGGTTCTCTAACCTGTTCCACAATGTGGGCCCCTCTAACTTGTACTAAAATGTCCCCCCCTTATTCATAACAATGTTTGCCACAGAGAATCAGAATTTGAGGTTAATACAATCAAAAAGATTTATTAATAAAAAGGCCACCTATTAATCAAATAGAACCATAGTTTTCATATAATTTCATGTTCTGTAATAAATGTGGAGGGTGGATTAATGCATATCCCTGTATAAGTCACTGCTGGGAATTTCCTATTGATTTGTCCTGCATTTAGAGGGCAAATGTTCCTGCTTTTATTACATGTCGATAGATAATGTTGCATAGATTCATCACCAGAATATGCAAAGCACAGACCACTCATAGTTCAAATTCATGTTCAAACCGTTCTTTATCATCACAGCAGAGTTTTGGTGATCCACAAATGTCAATATTTAAAGTACCAGCAAATGAATGTTTAAGTACACACATGTGATGTGACACAATTGTTATGCACTATCCTTTTTTTTCACAGGTTCCAGACTCCAAATAACTGTTGACAAATCAGTGAATGACTGGAAACCTCTTTGACTGCATTAAATTTACATAAACTGGTAACCCCAATTCAGAAATCTTCCAAAAGTGCCCACAAAGTTTTTAGCCATTTTAGCCACGTTGTATTTGTGTAATTTAAAATGTAGCTAATAGTATACAAGATGAAACTTGAGCTGAATTCAACAAAATAATTTTCGATGAAGCACCAGAGCCCAACTAAATTCCATGCAAGATAATTAGTTATCACCTACATTTCAGAGTTTCCATAGAAACCAATGAATGATGATTGTATACTATGTATATGTTAATGATATAAATCATTTTCCTCGAATTTGTCTAAATTTGATCATATTTGGGAAGTATGTAATTGATGTCAGAGGTGAATAAAATTAATACAGTAGTTCTGTTTGTGTGTTTTCCTTTTTTATGCATGTTGACTGAGAAAGTTTGCAGCAGTACAACATTCTTTAAAGTGTCGTTTGTATAAAATGTTAGCTGACTTGAATACACGACAACAATGGCACTTTTAACCTATTCACTGCTCTTGTCACCTCACATAAAATAGTCCCAAGTCTTGTTGCAGGTTCCGTACATGAAATTTGATGACTCGCTGCACAACCACTGTGGCATGTTACTTTCTGGATCTGTCGCTGAATAGAGAATGTTATTTTACCTACTTCAGAACTTAGAAAAAAGAAATAAACACCACTATTTTAAGGGCTTTGAACAAATCCAATGACCTGCCCCTGATCATTACCTAGCCTAAAGTAGTCCCACCCACAGTCAGCTGGCGTACATTTTGTATAACAAAAATATTCATCAAAATTGAAGATGTCATCACGAAATGGATCCACCTGAGGTACCTATAATGTATAATATCAAAGCAATCAGATATCAAAAAATACAACTGATATTTGCTTGTATGATAGGCTTTACTTGACTGTCTGCAATTGAGCTAAAAGTGAAACCGTATTTTCTGGTCTACAGTTCTAAATACACTTCAATGTTTGGAAATTTTTAAAAATATAAAAAGTTGAGACTTTTGCAGTTTATATCACCAAAAATGCCCATATTGAAAGAACATTTTTCATATTTATTCATGGCCAGCAACATCTGGTTCCAATCTTATTCATGTAAACTTGGCATTCAGCATTTACAGTACAATGCACCAAAATATTACATAGAAACTATCAATGGCCTCAGATGTCATGTCAGAATTAGGTCGTCCTGATGGTGGCTTTTTCCCCTGCAAAATCCTGCAAGGAAGACTTATTTACATCTCCTTGCCTTGTGCTGTAATTTTAAGTTTTTGCACGGGTATCTACTTAGCACTTGAGAAATGCCAACTCCAAATATGGAATTATTACGTGCAAGCTTCATTCTTGGTTTCACATAACTTGCAGTTTGATTGAAAAATGTTGCATGCACTCAGATGGCATTTGTCAATATTCTCACTGTATTGTTTTCATGCATGGTACTTTACAATGTCCTCAAAACCCAGCATCACCAAATGAAATTAAACAAGCCATGCATGGCACAGTCCCCGTTAGTTATCAAATTTAAGATATATAGTTTTGTTTATAGTAATATAGCTGGAATATAACCATGTCAGGAATATGATTTTTTAACATTAAAATGATTGACATTTGTATCTGATCGTCAAACAAGTACTTGTTCATATTGAGAGATATTGCTCTGGAACAGCATTCAAAATCATCCATTTTGAATACATGTATATATAACATGATGTATAACGAATATATAAAATTTAAATATAAGTCCAAGCATTTAAGAGATATGGCTCTAGAAGCCCAATCATTAAAACAAAATGGCCACCAGTCAGCCATTTTGAATCCAATCTGAAAAAAAAAATGACTAGCATCAGGAACCCGTAATGTCTAATGTATGTACCAAGTTTGAACGAAATCCACCCATAAATGCTTGATATTTGATGATTTTTTAGCACAATAATGACCACCATTCTGCTATTTTTATGACATGATGTATAATGAATATTTAAAATTTGAAAATATTATCAGTCAAAACAAGTCTGAGATACGAGTCTAGACAGCCATTTTGAATCAGATCTGAAAAATAAATGTGCATCAGACCTGTATGTCTAATATATGTACCTAGTTTGAACGAAATCCATCCAGAAATGCCAGAAATGCTTGATATTTGATGATTGTTTAGCACAAAAAAGGCCACCATTTGGCCATTTTGAAAAGGATCGTCAAACCAATATATCTATCTATGACATTATGTATAATGAATATTTAAAAATTAATCAGTAAAAGCAAGTCAGAGATATGGCACAAGAACCACATTCATGAATACAAAATGGCCACCAGTTGGCCATTTTGAATCTTATCGGAAAAACAAAATTATTTGCATCAAGGTCCCATAATGTTTAATGTATATACCAAGTTTGAAGAAAATCTATCTGTAAATAGCCGAGAAATGGTTGATTTTTAGGATTTTTTAGCACAAAAATGGCCGCCATTCGGCCATCTTGAATCAGATCATGAAACAAATTGACGTGCATATGTATATCATGTATGATGTATATGTATGTGTGAAGTTTGATTGTGATTGGTCCAGACATTTCTAAGATACAGGTCCGGACTCGCACACGCACGGTCGGAGGTCAAAACATAAGTCCCCGTTTTCGGACTGCGTCCGAACGGGGACTAAAAAAAAAGTGTGCAGTATTTGCTAAATTAGAAGTGCACATGTTTATACACAATGGTATACTACCCTGGTAGATCATTGAAATACTCATTTATGTAAGCACATGTGCTAATAGAAAAAATATGCTTACATCCAAATTCCAAAAACTGTATACTGCCATCCAGATAATACTAGTTGCTACAAGAATCATGCAATAATTATGGCCACTTGTACAAAAGGAAATTACACATCTCCATTTCAAATCATGTTGCCACCATCCACCCAATATTGGACAAATAGCAAAAACTGTCAGTGTACTATCTGCTGAATAGACATGCAATTCGTGAGGGGGCAGGGGCTAATTCGATGCCAAGTTTGAAAGCAAACAGTCATGATACACATTTGTAAAGTTTATTTTTTTTTTATTTCGAGACACTCAACAAAAAATTGACACTGCTCTTGATGTGATGGGGATGAACAAATAACCGACAGTGCATTTCTACAAAAAAATACAGTAACTTCATTTTAGAATATTTGACCAGGTAACAAATTACAGTACGTTGAATTCTTTCAAGAGTGAAAAAACAAAGTTTCAGTATTCTTAATGAGATCTTGGCAGCCATTCTCATATAAGGTCTCTATCATTCCTTCAATCATCATTTATTCAAAAGCTGATGATGATATTCTAAAAAAGATGAACACATTCAGCACATTATTGGTTCTATGAGAGATATGCTTCCAGTAAAGCAATATGATATACATGTATTCTAATACATGGGACTAACAAAAATAACGAGTTGCAATGAACTTTTATCGCAAATGTTTTTAAGATTCTCTGACAATATGGGATCAAACATGAAAAATTTACCTTTGATTTGGTGCCACTTTAGTTCTAGGAGACAAACTAAACTTGGAAATTTTGGGTCTAAAACATATTGTTGCTTAAAATCATTCCTTATTCAGTATTAAATCTGTTACTCAAATGTTCTCAGCAAACAAAAAGCATGCTGGCTAGAAAAAAAATTACTAAGACAGTGTGTCTGAATTTGGAAAAAGCACCCCCCCCCCCCAAAGAAGTGACACGGCTAATGGTTTCTGGGAATGTACGAGATCATCAATGTCAACACAATATGGCGGGTATGCGACGCCTTAATTTATTCACAGAATCAATTTAATCGCTGAGATCCATGTCCATCTGTTCAGTATTTTCTTGGGGACTTTCTTTTTCTTCTTTTATTTCTGCATAATCACTGGTGGGAATGTCTTCGGGTTCCTGCTCATCTTTAGAGCCATTTTCTTGTTCTTTCTCTTTGTCACTATCATAGCCTTTCTCTTCCTCGTCATAATCTCGTACAACAGTAACTTTTACATCTTTATCTGTAGATTTACTCTTTTTGCGTTCTCTCTCACGTTCTTTATCCTTTTTGTGTTTTCTGCTTCTTTCTCGCTCGCGGTCACGCTCTCTCTCTCGTTCCCGGCTGCGATCACGTTCTTTGTCTTTCTTTTTGCGCCTGGAGAAGAAATGTAAATTGTAATCCTGAGTGGAAAAGCTGTGAATCCAAAGATTCAACAATATACCACCATTCAGTTTCCTTTTTTTACTTGAGTCAACTTTTGTCACATTAAACAAAACCAGTTATTGACGAGATAGTGCCCGTCCATCTTTTAGTGTTTGTGTGAATTATAAGTAATGACAAATGTACATTATAATTAAAAGTTGTGAGTATGCAAAAAAACAAAAAAAAAGCATGTCCGAGAAATGATAAATTCAAAATGGCTACCAGTCGGCCATTTTAAATTATATCACAAAGAAATCTTGCATACATCAAAACCATCACCCAAGGTCAACAAAACAGTACCTTTTCTTGAAATATTGATAACTAAATGTAGACAGAATGTTTAAGTTATGACAATATTTACACAATTCATAAGAAATTTTATTTTAAAACAAAATATATATCCTCTAATTTTCAAAATTGTGAAATAATAGGTCAATTAATTGTTTACTAACTTCATTCGCCTTGGGGAGCCTGAAGACGATCGAGATGCTCTCTTTTTTGGCGACTTTGATGTTCTGCATTTTGGCGATCTGGAAGTTCTACGTTTTGGTGATCTGGATGGTCTTCGTTTAGGAGTTTTGGATCTTCGTTTTGGCGATCTGGATGTCTTTCTCTTAGGTGATCTTGATGCCTTCCTTTTAGGTGTTCGGGATCTTCTGGTTCGAGATCTCGATCTACGCGGTTTGGAACGGCTACGACTTCGTCTGCGACGATCCCTACAACAACACCACAGAAATAGAGACCAAATAAATAAAAACTAAGATATTACAGGACTGTCATAATGTTGCAGTTGTAAACTTAAAACCAGCGATAGTTCATGTGTGTAACAGAATTCAAAAAAGTCTGGTTCAGAAGACTTCATAAATAATTGGAATATGGGTGTTTAAAAAACAAACTAAATAAGCAAGTATGATGGCTATCCACAAGCAATAAACAATATATTGTACTTAATCATTAGTGGCAGTCAATAAGGAGTGAATTTGAGTTTAGTTACATGTATCTGCACTTTTTTAAAGTAATAGGTTTATCTACGGTTATGTATTTATCAATGACTGCAATTTTTCCTGCGAATGTATCTTTAATATAATTTCTTCTTTAAGTTTGAACAAAATGGACATAATTTCCCATTGTATAGACATCTTAAATACAATTTTCTAAAAAGATATTAAAAGAGAAGAAAAATTAACTTACAAAGAAAGAAGCACATTGTCAAAGCACGTTGTAGTAGTGAGGATTTGTACTACACAATGTGGAGCAGTTTGTTTGAAAGCATACCATATTATATAATTGTCAGTTTGTAACATGCTAGTATTGTCATGTATATCATTCTATTGGCTTAATGCTCAGTTTGTAAGAATAAATACTCAACAAAATTTATTATCATTCAGGAAATATTGTAAGCAGATTTATATTAATAAAAGCAAATAATTATAAAAACTAACTGGTAGCAGAAAATCTGATCTAATCGATTTAATACTTCAAGCTCCAAATTGCCACGATTTTTGTAGTTCACAAGAAATCCTCAAATTTTGTAGTAGTAAAACCTAAGGTCGACTAAGGTTCATTGTGACATAGAACCAAATCTTCAAAATTACTAGTTATGAATTGTTTACATCGTGCACAAAAATGGAATTTTTTTGAAAAACAAGTTTCAGCTTTAATAAAGTGGTCCATGAGACTTGGTAATATGAACAGATAAGTATACTAATGTATGGAAAGGCTAACATTTAGCCCTGCTAAATTTTGTAGTAGTAAAACCTAAGGTCGACTAAGGTTCATTGTGACATAGAATCAAATCTTCAAAATTACTAGTTATGAATTGTTTACATCGTGCACAAAAATGGAATTTTTTTGAAAAACAAGTTTCAGCTTTAATAAAGTGGTCCATGAGACTTGGTAATATGAACAGATAAGTATACTAATGTATGGAAAGGCTAACATTTAGCCCTGCTATGTACACTGTCATTTCATGAAGCTTTTAAAACAGTTCCAACTCAACTCTCACTTTCAACCAGAGAACTTAGAAGGGTCAATGTCAGTTTTTGTGTTAATTTTGTGTATAAAATTTAATGTGAATGTTTTAAATCATATACTGCAGGAGGAACATAATGGCCACCCACTGGCCATCACTGACTTTTTATCAGTGAAAGACCTTTTTTATGTGGTTATTGGCTCCAAATGTAAAACATAAATACAGAAGTGATATTGCAAAACGTTTTTCAGTATTTCTAAGAAGGATTTCTCACTCAACCAATAATTTTGAATCACACAAATCCATGCCCATTTGTTACATAAACACTGATTGGTTGCTCTCAATGTAAGATTAATTTCAATGTGCTGACAAAAGGGAGGATGAGTTGGAACTGTGCAAAAAGCTTTCTTATAATGTAAGTTCATGTATTCCACGAAGTGAATGAATACAACACAAATAAATACCGTTTGTTATTTGTCCCTGTACCAACAACAGGACTGTGGACAAATAAATGTAAATACTATTCAATCAAATTGGATAAAATATGCAAAAAATGAACATTGTATAACACTAAACTGGCACTCAAATGTTATACTCGCTGCACTGAGACTCAAAATCAGACTTGCTTTTCAACTCTTTCAATGCCAAAATTTAACAATAATTTCAACAAATAAAGCTGCTGATTTCGATCAAAATTTTCAAAAAAAAAATGTGGGCAAATTTACATGTTTGCCTTTGGCATTAAAAAGGTTAAAAATGCCATTATTGCGAAGACTATTATGATCATTTAAATTAAAATGGGGCACATATTGTTATTCTTGAAAAAAATTAAGTCTCCTCTCAATTTATTGCCATCATTCTGAGTAGTTTAAATTTGTTTGATTAAGTTTCTCTGACAACTTTAACACAAGCTGCAAATTAAACATTTGTTAATAAAAAGTGGCAAGAAATAAAACTAACACATAAGTTAATTTCGCTGCCACAGATGACTAACTTGATTTAAATTTTTAGGACACAACTATCGATTTAAAAGATTTTTTTCAATTGTCTTGTTAACTACATGATTTGCTATTATTCGACGACGATATGATCTACAGGAGGCACATTTCAGGTGACTTAATTCCATCTACGCCTAACCCAATCACTAATGGTAAAATTTGGCAATGCAGAAATAACTGGTTACGAGAATCTAATAACACTGTATTATTAAGTAAAAGCAGTGTAACAACGGTAAAAGGTAATGTATTATACAAAGTACAAAATAAAACACGAGTAAATACCGTTTGATATCATTCCCTGTACCATTAACAGGGCTGTGGATATAGAATGCAAATCAATTAAAACTCAATAAAATATGCACCAAGTTATGATAATTATACCACTTGCTTGCAAAATTTGAGAAACGTGGCATCGAATTGATAAATTTCAGTCTGTTGTCTAAAATTATGTGAGAAAATGAAAAATACTGACTGATCTGAATGATGGTAGAAGTAGACAATTTGCATACAAATTTGCATAATACTGTTAAAATATTCAAGACAGGTGGTCTCTTTCTGTATCATAATTGTGAAATGAATTTCATTTGTAAGACTAAGGCAATGTAATACAGTACTACTGGACACTCGCATGTTCAGGGGTGTGTTAAGCGAGCTTAGCAAATGTACAATATGTATATAATAGTATATTGCAACATGTAATGAGCGTACATGATCAAAAATATTATAGATCACAATGCAATGTCAAATAGGACATGGACATACCTGCTTCTACTTCTAGAGTAGCGGCTTCGGTAACTCCGAGGTGGTGTGCGCGACTTTTTATAATCTCTGAAAAATAAAAATAACAGTTAACAACAATTTGCAAAACATTGTTTTATTTTTAAATCACATGATCCTGGGCTCACACTGGAATGTTTGAAGAGCTAGTAAAATTAAGAAAGAAAAAGAGAAATAGCAAATATTTTCCATATACAATGTACATACTAATGTAATCAGATTTTTATTAAATTTGGGGAAAAAAGATAGGACCGATTCTTTGAGATCTACATCACACCTGTCTCAAGCTTTTTTTTCAGAAATAAGGCAACCACTGGCTGACGTGAAATAAAAATTACCTTGATCTTGACCTTGAGCGGCGCCTACTCGGTGAGCGAGACCTCCTACGACGAGGACTACGAGAACGTCTTTTTGGAGGTGGTGTTCTGGATCTAGAACGGCGAATCTTCGACCTAGACCTTTTTCTTGACCGTGAACGAGATCTTCGTCTCGATCGTGAACGAGATCTTCGTCTTGAACGAGAGCGCGACCTTTTGCGTCTCTCTTTGGATTTTGAGCGAGTTCGACTTTTGATCAAGGGTACGATATCTGTTTCAAACACTGTGAAATGAGACAGAGGGAAAATATATAAAGAAACAAAAGGAGCATCATTAGATTGATTCATTCAAGTAATTTTCTATTTAGAGTTGAGACCCTGACAATTACGCCTGCTACTTCTCTCCAGGATGACGTCCACACAAGGCAGGGAAGGCGTATGGAAGAAAAACATACATCATTTTCTAAGACGTAATTGCAAGATGGATAAATTATTACAAGTATTTACCAGTATTACTTGAGTCTGGCTTCAGATCCAGCTCTACAAGATAAAAACACAATTGAGATGGCCACATGATGGAAACGAGACACGATTTTAGAAATACAAAGAGCAAGTCAGCCACCTTCTCATTTCAAATCCCTGTAAACGAACATTTCAGCAATCGGCAAGGTGCATGCCATGCAAATACAGTACTTCCTGTGGAGAACGTCACAAACAATAAATTAACTGTTCCATCCTGAAAATTGACCAACCCAACTCTTGTAAGCACATTCATTTTTCAACTGTCAAGATTGTTTAACTTGATGAAGTTTCTTGTTTAGACCAAAAAGTCAGATGGAAACTTCAAATTTTTTTTTATTCTCGCATTTGGTAGTATGGTTAGGTATTTATTGTATTTCCTAAGAAGACGCATTTTTTGCAAAGCCTTTTTTTTGCCTAAAAAAATTATCAGCTGGAGGGCAAAATTTGAATGGATGGAAAAGCAAATTCACTGCTTGAGACAAACAGGTTGAAGTGTCAATATACGACACATGTAGCAGAGGAAGACAACAAACAACATGTATATACGACGGCACAAACAATTACATAATATACCTGTCAAAAAAAAAAAAACAATAACATAAACATAAACTACCAGACATAAGGACATTTAAAGAAGGAAGACATGACAGGAAACATGAACAAAATGAAGTGAACATAGTATTAGTAGTAACCTATTGTTTCAATAATAAACTACTGATGGTATTTTAATTTAGCAATTACATTACATTCAGAACATTTCCATCTTTGCAGACACCTAAAGTTTTTTTTATAGTTGATGAACCCATTCAAGAATACAATCTCTATAGTAAACTAAAGGAAGGAATTAAACTCCATCTTTCTTCAATTTGACTTTCAAAAACTACTTATTTTCTGTTTTTAAAAATTATACTGCAATATTGGCAAATCACTCAAAATTATGTATAATTATGTTTGGCTGGCACCAACCAACATTCTGATTAGTCAATAACCAGCTTAACCCACTAGATGAAAGGCCATAGTTTTAGACCTGTGCATGGAAAAACCTGTACTTTCATATTGAGTGTTTGCGTGCAACTGAAAAATTCACTTATGATATTATAAATTTTATTTACATTTGATAGAAACCAACTAATAGATATTTAGTATGTTATTATAATCACGACTGCGTAATAATGAATTTTGTAACACCTCAAAAACAAGAGTTATTCACCCGTGAAACCGGATTACACTACTGTGAACATTTGCTGCATCCAGCAATGGGGTAGTGTTTTTATTTGAAACTAGTTCTATATATTTCATTAACAAAATTTAATATTTAATGTGACATTAAAATCAATTGGAATTTGTTATGTTGAAATACCAGCATTTTTTTGGGGGGATTGTAAGCTTAGAATCAAGTTGAGGTCTTTTACAATAGTCACAGAAAAAAAGCATTCTCTCCCTTCTCAAAAGGTGATAGATGAATTAATTCAGAAAACAATAATAATAACAAAACAAGTTAACTGACATTAAAGCAACATAGACATCATGGCACTCTTTTCTACTTCAACGTTGAGCAACTCGATTGAAAGGAAACTCAGATGTCAGTTGTTAATCACTGCCACGAATGACCCTTCTCTACAAAACAGATAGGTGACAACAAAGATGGACAATGTGCAGGAGACAAGCGATTTACATTGCAGTGATCTCAGAAACCTTTAGGGTAGCAGGGGCTGCTACCTCGTGCCATTTACACTGATATTCGGGGCATGCCACAACAAATCATTTCATGTCAACTGATCTACGGGTAATCAATTATTATCAGACTGTTATAAATATTTACTATTCCCAGTGTTTTAATTTACACATCAAACTTCACACAGAAACAGCACTGAGAATTGCCGACAATGAATGAAAGGTATTAGGAAGCTTGGTTTGTGTTGCATATTAAGATTGAAAGCAGACTAACAAACACAGAAACACGCTATGCTAGAATCCTGTCAATCTCGAGACTGCTTGAAAGCGATGATGAAATTGAGAAGTTATTCTGGATCAATAAATCTAACACGACTTGTAAATGTCTTTTGAAGTGGATACACCACTGGAAAAAGGTGTGCCGAAATGGTCAGATGACAACATTTCTGACTATTGACGACACATTTTTTCAGTAAATAAGACCCAAAATTGCTGTAGATGCACATTTCCATAATCATCTGTTAAGTTTATTTACTTACTAATCAAGACACGAATGCAGTGGGGATGTTTAGCAAGCACAATTAACTTGCGTTTTGAGGGCGAAAAATAAATTACAAACAGATTGACGGAAATGGACACTTTTTTTACTGTTAAACACGAGTATGTAAATTACTAGTACATGATGCACAAAGCGGTTAAGGGAGCAGTACAAGTTTGTGCGCTATAGTTTTAATATGCAAATTAGTCGCAATCCTGAGACAATTTACTGGGGCGAACACTGCAGTGGCAATGAGGAAAGGATTTTTAAATTGGAAACAACAACTAGCAAGTAACAAAGGTTTTTGAAAGTTAAACAATGTCTTGTTTTTTCTTGGGAACAAATATTCTCTCCCTTTCTCTAAGCAGCATATTTATTATTCTGCATGATCATGAAATTAAAACCGCATCCAGCTATAGCCATGGTGGCATGCTTACAGCTAGTATTACAGGTATTTTGGACTACCAACATAAATACTCTGAGGGAACCTGGAGATAACAATACAAGAATGACACAAACAAACACACCTGGATCAATGGCAGCTTGGATCAGGGCTTGCGCGTCTCTTACACGCTTCATTGCTTCCTCCATTTCTCTTGCGGCAGCTTCTGGCGTCTTCGTTTGTGGTTTGACAATGGCATTGTTGGAATGGTTGATTCTGATGGTAGGAGAAACAGACAGCTGATGTTATTGAAAGTCCATTTATATAGGGAAGAAATGTGTTAACTCCATATTGAATTTTGCAAAGAATTGTGGGATAAAAAATTGAACTATAGATACCTCTACTTTACTTGTATCTCTATAAATCATAAAAAAAAATTAGTGACATACATGTATAAACAGATCCATTAATCTATTAGAAATGTGCTGAATCACAACTTACTTAAGGGGCCTTCCACCAAACATGACTCCATTGTAAGTCAGTGCAGCAGCAACAGAATTCTGATCACTAAATTCGACAAACGCAAACCTGGTGGGTTGAGTTTCATCGCCAGCCATGCGTACGTATTTAACCTCTCCAACTTGTGAAAAGAAATTTAACAACTGCTCTGCTGTGACAGTCTGAAATAATAAGAAATGACAAAACATTAAAGGCCGTCTAAAATGAACCCTGTCTAAATCACACCTATACCAGTTCCTCCCACATATATATTACATATACTGACTATCTTTGAAAATGACCTTTTATTTAGGCTTCATTGCACAATAAGTTTAGTAGTCCTGTAACAGAAACTTATTAATGCATTAAATTACCATAGATACATTTAAGGCAGCATGAGCTGAATTTGAACATGTTGCTGCCCATATGCAATGCATCATGGGAAATCTTTCCATAGTGCAATTATTATACTGGAAACTCTCAGAAATGATAATACAAGTTCCTGACACTGTATTGTCATTTATTTCAACACAGGCCATGAGTTGACAAAGAAATGCTAGAAAGTTTTTCTGTGGGAATTGAATTCAAAGTTCTTTGATGTTTTATTGAAAAACTAACATACAATATATTCATGCTGCTTTACAATTACAAAAGCTATATACAAGTATACTATGACTAATAAACACTATTCCATTTACCTGAGAATCAAGATTGCCGACATAGATTGTTCGACGTATTTCTTCAATCTTGGAAGGATCAACATTTCCTGGTAGCGGTGGTGGCTGCGGCAAACCTAGAGCTGCAAGTGTTGGATCAAATGGTGCTGTAATCTGTGCTGCACCCGCTAATCCAGCCAGTGGAAGCTAAAAATAATAATAAATATTATAGTTGTTTCAACGAAAATGTCGCCCCGATATTCACATACTATATCAGTGTTCTCCACAAATAAAATTTGAAGAGAGGTGCTAATTTGGCATATCTAATTTGCATATAATTAGCATACTAATCAAAAATTTCAAAGACAATTCTTAGCACTTTTATATTTACATCAATCTCAAATACTGCGTACAAGTACTATAATAATGTTCTTGAATTATTTTGATGAATAAATTAAACCACTAGATGTCAAAAAAATATCAACTTCGACAGATAAAAAATATAATGTTATTCTTTGTAATGGAACAAGATGTGAAATTCTAGCCTTTCATTCATTTCTTTTAAATTTCTTTCAAGTATTTTTGTTTTCATAAATTTTATAAATGCATTGACATATTGTAATAGTTGAATAACTCAAGTAATAATAAGAAAAATATTTTCACATAACAAAATTACCATTCAAAAGAAAAAATTGAATCCGATGACTGTGAATAAATGTATCATTATGTTAAATTGTATTGTGGGTACTGAGGTCAAGGGTCAAACCAGCTACCGTGTCATCCATGTTTTTTAATGTTTACCGTACGTTTTGTTTTGGTGATTCTTTAGATGATTCTTTTTACTTTTCGCCAATTAAAGGCAAGTAACAAGCAATTGGACCAATAAATTGTTGCTGGATTTCTGTTCTCAAGTATCTAAGCTAATTCAGAAATGTTGAGGGAACTTGTTTTGACGCTCCCATGGTGAGATTAACGTGGGAATTAACGCAATGTTTGTGACAATCACTTCACGCGTCTAGCCATTGTTTTTTGTTTATTTATTCAGCCAGTTTTTCCCCAGACATCCAATCTATTGTACTAGTTGTCATCTATGCCACTATCCGTCTCTTAGTTCTTTGTTTTATCGCCTGTCAATTACCGTAATAAGAGGTCTCCCAATAACGTCGTCGGGACATCTTCCAGGACTCGTGAAACAGCTGTTCACCGAAAACAAAGGAGGGCGCTGAAGATAAATAGAGGGATGCTACAAATTGAAGAGGGGTGTTGCGTTGCGCCCCTTTTAAACTCCTTGTGGAGAACACTGCTATATACACTTACAAATTCATGAAAACTACTCAAGTTGTTATCAATTTTGCAGCATTATAGACAAACTATAGAATGTGTTACTTTCAATAATGCAAACAAAGTTTTAAGTCAACAATGTTACACATGCAGTGTTACATACCTGTCCGAGTATTGACTGTGATGGTGTCGGTAATAAACCCCCTCCAGGTGCTGGCATCAGACCAGCAACTGCATTGGCAGGGGCTGCTATCATCAAAGCTTTGCTTTCATCAGGAATTGTACCTAAAAACAGATAACAAGTTCTACTGTTATGTTTTTTAACAGTATTATTTTAAAATTTGTTTATTTTGAGAGACAAATTTGTGTGTGCCAATGAATATTGTACTTTGGTTATCATAATACTTACCATCTCCACATGGCACAACAATTAATGCCCTGTCAATAAACACTGTATTCGTCAAGTGTTGGGCTACACCCACAGATGTTGAATCCTCATACTTCACAAAACATACACGTGATGTCACCGGGATTATGGAATCTCTGAAATAAAACACAAAAGTGAGTATTGAGATTACAGTGGCAGATGAAATACAACCTATATACTGATGTACTTGTGTGGAATGTGTTAATAATGAATGACAAAGATATATTTCCTGTGGATAACCAGTAATTCTGTAATATAAAAATAACTGACAACTCTTTTGTTTGAAACGAAAAGAAACATTCAAACAGATTGCATTGGTCAGATTTTGTGCACTTTGCTTTCTAGCAATAGACCATTTTCCTTTCACTGCAAGATCCCGGTATCTAAATGCAATATTCCCCTGTCAAAAATTAGCCTTTGGACTTTCAAGTTCAAAAAACAAATCATTCAATTTTTGTGGCAGACGTTTGATCCATGTCTTTCCTCTCAATCTGTGAGATCTCGCAGTTGAAAGGAAAACAACCATTTGGTGCTCTTCAACTTATTTGAAGTAACAAACATGATCATCAATGTATTTGCCGATGGGTGTCTTATCATGAGTGTTGTTCCATTAACAGCAGATTATAATATCACAGCGAGTCTCTCTATAAACCAGTCTCAAAACAGATTGCATTTCATGTAAACAGTGCTTGTTGCAGACTAATAAACGATGACACAGAACATGAACTAGCACAGAAATTGGCCTTGGGCAGTGAAGTTAACATTTGATGACAAAGATCATAAAACAGTTGAAAATGCTACCAGCCAACTGGATTTTAGAATATTTAAACAGACTTCAAGCTATTCAATTTTCAACATCACTTCTAGCAATTTTTAAATAAATAAAAATCAGGACAAGGGGGGACATTTGAAACCAGTCTGTATATACATTGTAGCATGCTTTGCGTCTTGAATTTTTGCTTGAAACAAAATTCCTTTTTTGAGGCATAATTTTTGATTTCTAGTCACCTCGACCCCTATCCCGTTCGACCC